CTCCGGGACTGGGATATAAGCCCCAGTCTTGGAGTTTCTTTTCACTTGTAGAAATAATAGTAACAAAAAATGTATACATATGTGAACATAATTAGACTTGTATGACAGGTTTGGATGGTGGTAAAGCTACTTTTCAACTGCTTGAAGCACAACGTTGTACGAAATTCTTACTTTTCGTAAAAAAGCTTTGAGCACAACGTTGTATGAAATTATTACTCTTTGTAAAAAATATGTGTGGGTGAAAAAAAGAGGGCAAGTTTGTGCTATTGGATAACTCAGTTTTTAGAGCATTGACCCTGTTAGCCAAAAGTATTGGATTCAAGCCTGGAGTTGTTTTTACTTATCGTTTTTTTTTTCTTTTTTAGTTAAGCACAAAGCTACACAATGTGCTTTCTGTATTTTGTCCACCACGGGTATCGAAACCCGGTTTTTAGCGTTGTAAGTTCACAGACATACCGCTGTGCCACTGGGAACTCTTTTCTCATCGGCTTTTTTTACTTACAATAATGTTTGTTAGAAAATCTACTGTTGTTGATTCGTAATATTAATTAAAATAATAGCGCCTCAACCCCTACTACGTACGTCATATCCCAGCGGTCTGATGAGCCCAAGTATTTGCGAAAGGCCACGTCGGCACTGGATATAGCTGATATAGTGTGGTTGACATATTGCTATACAGTCTTCTTTACTTTCAGTAATAAGTTCGTAGAATTAAAAGTTTTATTAATTTAATATAATTAATCAGTTTGGAAAGACTTGTTGATGGCTAGAATGGAACACACTTCTCATTATTCACCAGTACTAGAAATACGCAAAGTAAAAAACAACGTGAAGACATCACGTCTAGTTTTTGTAGTCTGAAATACTGAAACTATCTAGTGGTTCTGACTAGAGTTTCTGCTGACTCTTAACACTAACCAGACTGTATTCTGCTCCATTATGGCCAAATGGGTTTTAATTTACTATTGTTTAGAGTGTACTAAGTGTCGCAGTTCAGGCGTCTCTAATTTATACCGTCTTTCATAGAAGGATTTTCATGAATATTCATTCGTGCTGCTTAACAGCTTCAGCAATAACAATTAGTCGCCTAAGCTTGTGTCCATGGAAGAGCGCCTGTCGGGCACGTGCATAGGTGAATAATTTTGCTTGGTAAGATCAAGAGTTCTAGATGGCCAGTGGTTCAATGTGCTGAAATTTTGCTGCATCCAAATGTGCGAGAATCTTGATGACAAGACTTGTTTTCTCTAACATGATATAGAAGTTTAGAGCTGGTACTTGTTATGATAGTCCGCCATGTTGACACACGTAAACCTTCTCATAGATAATCTGATATACTAATATTTTGATCAGGTACTGTTTTATTTCTCAAGTAATGTTTTTCATTATTCAAAGATGTTGAAAGAACGAAATGGTTAAACTCCCTCCTAAAACCGTCTATTTATAACATTTTTATGCGTTTTCAAATAGTTAATTTTACATTTCTTTCTTTGGCGCTACTTCTCACGTGCGTTGATTATAGGAGATGCTAAGTGTAGAAAATGCAATCAATAGGTATTCCTTATGAATGTGTTTTTGATCTGAAATTTCTAAACGAAACTATGGCTGCAGTAAGTTGTTCTTAATGTAATAAAACTTATTCTTGAAAGTTTTAGTTATTGTTTTTGTGTAATTTGAATATTTAGGTCCAGCAATCCCACTCATGTTTTAAACCACATTGTGGGTTTTGTTTTACTTCCAATTAAATGTACTGAAGTACATGAAAATCTCGTGTAATCTCGTCAAATCTGCATTTATACATTATTCAGGAGAGTTATATGAGGTTGGCGCATTTTACTTACGTAGTTCAAGTTTCGACATTGTACCCATGCTATAGAAAAAGTTTGTATTTAGCGTCTGTTTGTTGAAAGGCTATTATCTCACTTGTGTGTAGGTTTTAACAACTGGAAAATCTTATTTTGACCAATCATTCACCATAAAAACTACACTCTATGCAATCCATTATTGCCTAAAGCCTTCAGGACGAATCATTGCCGACTTTCTTTCTCCTGTATTGAAAGTTGGAAAAATGCGAGCATGATGGTAGAATTAGCATGTGCTATTTTCATTGTTAGAACCAAATGAAGTCAGAATCTGGAGTCGCGAGTTTGTTTATTTCAAAATATCTCACAGATATATACAATTGCTATCTGCGCATAAGTGTCAGTAATTTTGACTAATAGACTAGCGGGAAGGCAGCTTGCCAACAGCACCCATCGCCAACTGTTGGGCTCTTGTTGTCTAAGGAAATGCTGAGATTTAACACAAAGATACGCAACTCCATAACCCGAGCGCTTTCGAAATGGTGATTCTTTCTCTATCACGGGCAAACATTCCTAGTTTGCTCCTGAAGAACTCCATCTTTCGGTTAAAGGGCATCGTATATTTGTGTTTAACTGATTTTTTTCTAACATCGTGATCTTACAGCACAAAGAAGTCGAGAGAAGTATGACTGTCATTCTATTTTTTATTTGTTAAAAACAAGTTTGAGAAAGTGTTCTTTTATATAATGAACTAATCTTGTCATTTATGAATTTCATAATATAGGCCTTCGTGATTTCCGGGTGTTAAATGAATTCAAACAACTGAAATTACAACTAAACACGTGGGTTCCTAGTGATATGCTCATCAAGATGGTCGAACACGGGAATCTGACAAAATATTCATAAGTTACTGTTGATAGTCTTGTTAGGGCAGTGGAATAGTGTACGACAACGTTGTTTGGTATTCAGTTTCGGTCGTGTCCTTAAAAAAACTATTTTATAAACGCTTTTATAAGCTTAAAAACAATCACCCGGTAGGAAATGACTAAGCATGAAGTTCAAACCATAGACTGCGTTAAAGATTTCAAGTGAAACAAACTCATTTGAATCATAGCAGTTCCAGTTAACCATGGTTAAGGCGCTCGACACGCAATCTGAGGGTCGTGGTTTCGAATCTCCGTCACCGAACATGCTCGCCATTCCAGCGTTATGATGTGATAGTCAATCCCATTATTCGTTGGTAAAAGAATAGACTAAGAGTTGGCGGTGGGTGGTATTGACTAGTTGCCTTTCTTATAGTCCAGCACTAGTAAATTAGGAACGGCTAACACAGATAGCCCTCGTGTAGCTTTGCACGAAATTCACAACAACCAAACTTGTTAGGTTTTTGTTATTCGATAAAGATTTAAAACATTACGGATAATTACATCTTTCTGTGAATATAGTTGTATAAAATATACCATATTGAACTGTTTATCTTATTATTCAACCATATTAAACTGTTATTTTCTTATTAATGTATAAGTGCATCGAAAACGATATAAACAAGACAGTGTGTGAAGACCCTCCGACATCTTAGACACTTAGTTTTTTGTTGTAGACGAAACAAATTAGCACATTTATGTGCTAAGCTCTTTGCGTGTGCTTGTATACAAAGTACCTATGGAAAATACAGACTGTAGATCATTTCGTTCATATACGGTATACCAAACCTTGGGCCCGGCATGGCCAGATAGTTAGGGCGCTTGATTCATAATCTGCGGGTCGCGGGTTCGAATCCCCGTCTCACCAAATATGCTCGCCCTTTCAGCCTTGGTGACGTTATAATGTGACGGTCAATCCCACTATTCGTTGGTAAAAGAGTAGCCCAAGAGTTGGCGGTGGGTGGTGATGACTAGCTGCCTTCCCTCTAGTCTTACACTGCTAAGTTAGGGACGGCTAGCACAGATAGCCCTCGTGTAGCTTTGCGCGAAATTCAAAAACCAAACCAAATCTTGAACATGTAGTTGTACCATACATTTATTTGCTCAATTGAACACAGCTTCTACAGTTGTTATTTGTTATGAAGCACAGAGCTACACAAAGGGCTATCTATGCTCTGCTCACTTCTGGTATCGAAACCCTCTAGCAATAAAAGTCCGCAGACATTTCGCTGTGCCACTGGGGGGCAGCTTCTACAGAAACCCTTTATAATGTTACACGTCTGTTCTGACCAGACCGAAGGTAGACTAACCAAGTATCCGGGGTCTGTCTTGTCTTTTAATTCCATAATCATGAACACATAGACTACAAGTAACACAGTTAGTGAACAGCAACACCACCAACTCTTGTCTGACCGCTTTCACATTCACTCTTATAACGCACCCATGACTCCAGAGTGTGGGACACGTTTACGCGGAAACGAGACGCGAATCATAAATAGTCATTATCACAATCCAGAATATATACGAAAAAACGTTTCTATTAAAAAGAACGGCTAGATATGACCTAGTGTTTAGTGTCCGTCACATTATAACGCCCCCACGGCTGAAAGGGCGAGCATGTTTGGTGTGACGGGGATTCGAACCCGCGACCTTCAGATTGCCGAGTGCCGTAACCACCTGGCCATGCCGGGCCTCCTTTAAAGAGAAGTGGGATTGATAGTTATATTATACTGCCCCACAGCTGAAAGGGTGAGTATGTCTAGCGACAGGTTTCGATCCTGCGACTTGCATGTTGCGAATCGTCGAGCGCCCTAGCCACCAGATCGTGCCACGCCCCCTATGAAATAACACAAAATGTTCACAGTTACCAAATGAAAAAAAACAAACAAACACCAACATCGAAAAATTATTACTCCCAAGTACAAACAAATGTGAAAATTATCAAAACTAAAACTCCCTTCTTCGTTGTTTCGTTGTACGATGATGGTGCTGAAAACTGTTACATTAATAAGGCGAAATTTTCCATGACCGTTTAGAAACATGTCATAAGATAAAATAAAACATAAGGGATTGTTGTTTAAAATATTTGCCCGTTTTTGTTGAATTTTGCTACGTGAATTCTATATAATTTATATAAATACCATTATCCTGATCTCAAGTATCTAAATACGTTTGAAAATTCAGAAGAAAAAAGTGTAGATTTGATTAGTCTAGCAGTGTTACGAGGTTGGATAACATTAGAAAAACTTGTCAGCAATATTGTTTTTCTTCTCGTTAGAGGGCAACACTGGCAGAGAAAGAGGTGTCTTCGCTGAAAGAGCGGTTTGACGACGCCAAACAGTCTCTTCAGATCCAGAAAGCTTCCGCTATGGAGCAAGCTGTAGAAGTGCTCAACCAGTCGACTTTGGAAACCGAACTAGCTGCTAAAGAAAAGAAGGTAAGGTATACGTGGCGTCATCTAGGGAGTGTATGTTGAGATATATTCAAGTACTTTTGCTGAAAAGTTTATTTAATTCACAAAGCTGCAGTGTATGACTTACACTAAGTTAATAGGTAAATATAGAATAAACGTTTTATCATTCTTAAAGTTCAGATATTAAACAAATCATAAGTTCTATAGTTTGATATATCATTGCTCATCTAGTTCAAAACATATTTTGTAACTCAATTATTTCTTGATATTATAAGCATTTTGTTTATACTTGAAACAGTGACCACAATGTCAAATATATATCATAATAAACGTAGTTTAAAAATATATGTTAATATAATTTCTTACTCTATTTCAATTTGATGAGTCCATCGATAGGTTAGTGGCAGGTTTCCGGACTTACATTAACATCCGGTGTTCGATTCCCCGCGGTGAACAGAGTGAAGATGTCCCGTTATGTAGCTTTGCACGACAATAATAACATTGTTTTTAATGAAGCAATTACAAGATTCTTTCTCCGAACTGTATTTAATCTATTAGTAAGAACTTTCACAGGAGTTGGGAAAATATGATTATTACAAAAATCCTTGTCCGGGAAGAGGAGGTGTTGTGAGAAAAATTAGCTGCATATATCAAGTCTGATAATATAAGCTGTAAATTAAAACAAAGAGAGAATAGAGGATAACTTACGACTTTCAAGAGAAATCAACAGAAAAGCTGTTTTCATGATGATTGTTTGTTTGTTTGTTTTGAATTTCGCGCAAAGCTACACGAGGTCTATCTGCGCTAGCTGTCCCTAACTTAGCAGTGTAAGACTAGAGCGAAGGCAGCTAGTCATTACCACCCACCACCAACTCTTGGGCTACTCTTTTATCAACGAATAGTGGGATTGACCGTCACATTATAAAGCCCCCACGGCTGAAAGGGCGGGCATGTTTGGTGTGACGGGGATTCGAACCTGCGACTCGCAGATTGCGAGTCGAACGCCCTGACTACCTGGCCGTGCCGGGCCCATTTTCATGATGAAGATATCAGTATTAATGTAAGCGTATCTTATTTCATAAGGAATACGGGACACTTCTCATCAGGGTTGTTGTTAGAGTGATCAGGAGAATCAGATAGAGAATATAACAAAGTACAGAAACAGAGTTGTGGTCAAAAGAACCATGTAGAGATTCTATATAACGACACCCAATCAATGTGTTTTAACAGGTCCCTCACAAGCCAATGGGGGACATTTCTGTTGAAAAAACAACAACAATTACCCAATTAGGCTTTTTTTTATTTGAACTGAATTTTTGGACATTTTATTGGCTAAAAAGAAGGAATTTCCTGCACTCTTTTTAGCGCATCACAAACTTAACGACCAAGCACATGAAGCATGGAAGTCTCCAAATGACTCGCAGAGGTATTCAGGAACCGTTTAGAACCATCTTTGTAGATATTGTGCAGGAAGCCGAATACAATATTATGCCTATAGCTGCTTTCAATGTCTGCTCATCCTACTGCTGACCATCGTGATGCTTTGACCTTCCCTACTGAATTGCAGGTGAAATCGTTCGTATCTCAATTGAAAGCTAAACATAAAAAGGTGATAGCAGAAGCATAAAAGATTGGCAATTGCTTGATTAATGATGCTGAGAATGTGGCTTAACATATATGTACTGAATTTACTCCCAGCGAGTAGACCTCAGTACTAGCTTGTGTGGAGACTTGGGGATTCTGTATTTCACTTATATATTTATGAATTAACAAATGAAAAGATACGTCGAAAACCACCCTCTTTGGGAGTTTCCGGATTGAACTTACTTTTAATGTTCAACAAATTGTAGTGTAAAGACACCCCTTGGCTCCTGAAGGACGTGTTAAATAGAATAATAACGAACTACTGGGGTGTTTACACGTTATTTTTCATCATACTTTGGATGTTTGGGTGATACGTAATAATTATATTTTTTTGTGTGTCTAATATGGCTCTTACCTTTGATCACTACTAGAATGTTTTCTGGTTTCAATACCTGAACAGTTTCTTTAGTTTGTTTTCATAAGTTTGCGCAAAGCCACCAGAGGGCTATCTGCGCTAGCCATTTCTAATTTTGAAGTGATAGACTAGAGGAAAGTCAGCTAGTCAACACCACCCACCTCCAACTCTTAGCCAACGAATTATTGGATTAACCATCACATTCTTACGCTTCCACAGCTGATAATGAGTTTCATTCCCCTGACTTTAAGATTTTTAGCCAAACACCCTAACTTCCTAACCACCAGGAATTTTCAAACAGACACACACGTTTGGTGACGAATTCATATATTTCAATTGGTTTTGGGATCGAATCGTGATTACAAATAGGAAACTTGTAACTGAATCAGTGATGTAGATTATTTTCTACAACTATTTCTTCCTTTTCTTAGAACTGTTAATTTTTTCAAATAGAGAACTTGAAGGAATGTGCTCCTTATTTCTTGTTTTCTGGATGAATTTGTAAACAGTTTACAAAGTTGTTTGGTAACTTCAACGAGTCAAAAGTTCCAGTGTAAACTAAAATAGCTTTGAGTTTTATGATTTTAATTGTACACATCTTGTTCTCAGATTTCCCAGCTAGCTGACGATATACAAAGTCTACAGTCTACAGTCAACAATTTGAAAGAGACAAGTGCCTCGCAAGTAAGTACCTGCCAGACCAAAAATTATCTTAAATTAATTTTCAACAAATCTTTAATTTGAAGGTATTCGGTTTTATTCAAAACTGAAATTCTATTACCCATGTCAATTTCAAAACATAAATTTACATTTAGGTTGTTCGTATGAACAGTCCTTTTATATTTGAAGAACATTACTAAAATAGAGGGAAGAACATTGTAGCTTGAAAAAGCTATATGTATCAAAAGTGTCTCCATCTATTGATAAACTTTAATAAATTAACTGTACTCGGAAAAAATTCAAAACACGACGAAAACCCATATGTTCACAATAAACCCAGACCAGACTGTATCATTTAAGGATATTCCTTGTTAGGTATTTGAATTAAATATAACTGTTCAACTTAACATATAATGTTAAATATTTGTTCTTTTGACATGAATATAGCAGTGTTTTTGTTACATGTTTAAAATAACTGTTACTATGAGCTTTTTTGTAAAATATTAGATTATTTTTCTTTTTTAATTAAGAGTTTCCTGAACTCTTGTCTTGTGTTCCTATAGTCATATCACCTTTATACACAATAAGATTTTCTGGTGTGATGTTTTTGGTTGTTTGGACTGAAGTGGCGCAAAGTAGCAAGGGTATCAGCGCCAAACAACCGTTAAAAAGGCAAGCAGAAGTAAAACTCTATAAAAAGTAAAAAGAAAACAAGCTGAAAGCTAAAGAATTCCCAACAATCAGGTAAAAACTAAATATATTTTAAAAGTCCAATGGCCTGCAAAAAACTAAAAACACAATCAAACTGGACAGTGTTACCAAAACCAATGACACCGTCCAATGTCAAGGGTAAACCATTAGAAAATTCATGTCTATAATGGTGCCCGCTTCTCACATTCTCACAGTACGAAAATAAAATATGGGCAATTGTGACCTGAGTGTCAAAAAAGCCACATATCGGTGGATCAGTCCCACATAAAAGAAAACGATGAATTAACAAAACTGTGACCAGTGAGTAGTCTTGACAAGACAACTTTCTCACTCCGATCCTTACGGAAGATGTTTTGGATCTATATAAATATAATAGCACTGTCTGTTGTATGTCCGTGTAACTACTTCGCAGGGTGTAGATGGTTCTTCACCAAAATTGTTATGGAGGTTCATTAGGTCCATGCGGGGGTACATACAAATTTGCGGTTTCACATTTTGTGTTTTGCACTTTTTATGGACGTTTTTGAGTTTTTTTACAATTACATAAAGGAAGCAACTTTTCATGTCCTAATCTAACATTTCATTAATCATGAATTTACATAACTTCCGTCCAGGTAACGGGTACTCCAGCTGGTAGTAAATAATTTACTAAAGCAAGTTTTTTAAATTGTTTCCTATTATACTTTATTTTCAGTTGATTTTGTTACTTACTTGCTCTCTTTTCTAAAATTAAGATGTTAATTAATAAGCTATATACCTTTCAGAGGTTTGAGGTTTTTCTTAGTTCTTGTAGGTTTTATAAAGAAAATATATATAGATGAAAAAGTAGCCATTAAAGAACATCTTTCCACTTATGTTATTGAACCATTACAAAACTTACCCCCCCCCCTCAGGTACGCAAGTGTTCTATGTCTAAATACATTTTATTATTTGTCGTTATATGTACTGTTATCCAGAGTTTATTTCTTAAGATAGTGTTAGACTAATGAGTGAAATAATAGGCCTTTCATGTGCTAGAATGCTCCACTAAGTATTCTTCAACATTAGTATAACAACAAGAATGCAATTGGAGGGGGGACAATAACGATATTAAAAACATTAGATTGATGTATATGACCACACCCAAAGTCTCATAGGTTAATTTGCACAAATTCTGCTTAAAATATTTTCAATTTGAGGGTAGGCTGGTAGAGATCCTGATGAGTAATAAAATTGAATTGGGTATACGCGCACCCCACACTTGGTATTGCTCGCGCTCAAAAATATAGCAAATAAAAAGGAATAAAAGGTATCATAGATTAATTTACTCTTATCTTGCCTAAAAGAATTTCAAGTGTCGCGGCTATTGAGGATTTCCTCTTGTTTATGAAACAAAAATTACTGAATTAGATATAGAGAGTACATTCTTTAGCTGGAAAAGGAAATACTTCGTATTCTTAAGTTCAAAACAAAAACTCAGAAATAACAAACTATTAAGTTAATATATCAATTACAAAAAGTTAATATAAATGTCTTTCCTTTTGTGTTAAATGTAAAATGTATTATATTTATGAAACAAAAACAGCCAGTAAAGTGTTATGGTTTGTTTGATATGTGTACACTCAATGTTTTTTTTTGTTTTTTTATTGTGTATGGTACAAAAAATTGAATCGGATTGTAGAAGTTTCAAATTTATAATGTGTTTTGTGAGGCATACAATTTCTTTGGTTGGTGAACTAAATGAAAGAAGAAAATGTTCATACATTGGTTAAGCAGTACAGGACAGAACTTTAATAAGAGAGGTTTGGTTTGGCTTGACTTTCGCACAAATCTACACTAGGGCTATCTGCTCTAGCCGTCCCTAATTTTTAGCAGTGAAAGACTAGATGGAAAGCAGCTAGTCATCACTGCACACCGCCAACTCTTGGGCTACTCTTTTACCAACGAATAATGGGATTGACCATCACATTATAATGCCTCCTCGGCTGAAAGGGCGAGCATGTTTGGTGGGACGGAGATTCGAACCCACGACCCTCAGATTGCGAGTGAAGCATCCTAACCATCATATTCATGCCGGGCCAGTTAATAAGAGAGAGCAGATTGATTAAAAACATAGTGAGTGGATGTCATTCATTCAAAATCTCTTCAGCATCAAAGATTCTTTATGATTATAAAAATTTTGGTGGGGGATCTAAACAAAGATATTAAATATTGCAAGATTCTTGTTCAGACAATACTGTTCAAACAAGCAGTGTGTTTCAACAATGACTGAAATCCATTTACCGAAGATCTCTTTAGCAACAAAGTTCCAATTTCCCATAAAACAATTCAAACATTGTAACCACAGTTTTCAAAATGATTTTCAAACTTTTTTATTAATCTAATAAATTTATCCTTATAAGCAATTTTATAAGAATATGCAGAATGATGGGGAAGCATTTTAACACAAACTTTCTTTTCAGATAGTTCATTTGGAGGAATTATTAGTAAAGAAAAACAAGACCATTGAGGAACTGGAAGAAAAACTTACTCAGCAGAAGGATTATGCAAAGATCAAGAAAGAATTGAAGTACTTAAAAGCTATTTTGAAAATTAATTTTCCACATAAAAATATTGAACTGAGATATCCCTCTGTTCAATATTCAAAATTAAATAAGTAAAAAAAGTATTAGTACATCTCATTGTACTTATTTGTGAAAGAAAACGTACGAATTTTAATGAAGTTATTGATTTATATACGTTTGTCAATGTTTAATTTTTAATTAATTAATTGCATATGTTTGTTTGTTTTTTGAATTTCGTGCAAAGCTACACGAGGGCTATCTGCGCTAGCCTACCTTAATTTAGCAGTGTAAGACTAGAGGGAAGGCAGCTACTCATCACCACCCACAGCCAACTCTTGGACTACTCTTTTAACAACGAATAGTAGGGTTCACCGTCACATTATAATGCCCCCGCGGCTGAAAGGGCGAGCATGTTTGGTGGGACGGGGATTCGAACCCGCGACCCTCAGATTACGAGTCGAGCGCCCTAACCACCTAAAATTGTATATGAATAATTTGATAATTCAATTGACATATTCTCTGTTGTCTATATGATACTGTTTTTTTTTTTTTTTGGGTAGCTTGTTTGTTTTTGAATTTCGCGCAAAGCTACACGAGGGCTATCTATGCTAGTCATCCCTAATTTAGCAGTGTAAGACTAGAGGGAAGGCAGCTAGTCATCACCACCCACCGCCAACTCTTGGGCTACTCTTTTACCAACGAATAGTGGGATTGACCGTCACATTATAATGCCCCCACGGCTGAAAGGGAGAGCATGTTTAGTGGGACGGGGATTCAAACCCGCGACCTACAGATTGCGAGTCGAGCGCCCTAACCACCTGGCCATGCCGGGCCGTTTTTGGATAGCATGAAACTATAAGAGGTAATACCTGGAGTGAGCAATAATTTATTAAAGTAACATTGTGCACAAATGAATTGTTTTATCAATAAGATGCTTTTTGAATGCTGTGCCTACATGTTACACAACAATTGCTGTTTGTAGTTTTCTATTATTATTTTTTATTATGAATTATAATGGTAAACAGTAGGGCCATGTGTATACCAAATGCTTGTTTATTGTAATCTTAAACATAAATCAATGGTAAATCCAACAGAAAATATATACTGACCAGTTTACTATGAAAATGTATACATGCACTCAAAGTTACACCAACAAAACAGGTGACCAAAAGAACAACATTTTAATCAAGCCAATAAAAAATTCAAAATAAACATGAAAAACTATTTTGTTCATCATTCATACCAAAAAATATTTTATTTGACATCTGTAGACTTTATTGGATTTGAGTGTAGTATTCGTTTATCAGTTTAGTGAGTTAGTGTTTAAGTTCCAGGCTATTTTGATCTAAATATAGGCTCAGACATATATAGGAAATACAGACACAGTAACCTTGTGTACTTGAGATTTGGAGTTAACCCTCAGGTCTACAGGAAATGGAACTGATTATTAGAAATTTAAATCATTAATTAAATTTTGTACTAAATTTATTAGAACTATTTGAAATGATCCAAGAACACAAGTTTTGTTTATATAAATAAATTTTGTTAGCTTTTTAATTTTGCTATAGAGGTTTTACTACCAGCCAAAGAACCATTAGTATATTCACATTTTCCAAATTGAATTTGTGTATCTATATATGTGTTTATATACATAGTAGTATAACAGCCCATCCAAAATGATGGGAAAGCTTTCCTATTCGGATCCTGCCTACCTGACGTCATAATGAGGAGGATAATGTTGCGTCACACACATAATACCATGCGTGATCTGGTCTTGGGAACTCCCTCCTCGACAAGCTTTTATATAGCAGAAAAAGTGCCGACATTGAGGTCCTATTTACACCTATGTTAGCAATTATCAACTAAAATAGGAACGGGCAATCAAAAGAGGAAGTATTATAGAAGAAAACTGGAATTGGACTCGTGTAACTCATGAAATTTGGAGAAATCAAGCGTGACCAACTGATTGACACTTAGCATTTATATATATACACACACACATATTAAAAGAGAAACAATTTCATCAAGTGAAAGATATTGAATTAAATGATACGATAAAAAAAAGTTTTTTATTCTTACCATAGAATATGTAACCTAAACATTAATGCCATTCACTTCAGACGTTTACAGTTTTACAAATTTTTATTGGCAAACATTTGACCCAATCCAGTTAAGAATCTTCTCCAGGCTTAAACGGAGATAAAGAGAACAAAAACAAGTTTGTGAGGAGAGACAAAATACAGTATAGATGTAGTTTAGGCAGTGGGTGTGTGCATAATTATGGAACAAACAAAAGAGTTGATTGGTTGCTTGGGTTTTTTTGGTGCAAAGCAACGTGGTTATCTGTGCCAAAAAAAAACAGTAAACGACAATAAAGGAAAATAAGCTAAAAACGAAACAGTACCCATAAAGTAGTTAAGAAAATAAATAGCATAAAAAAAGGCCAATGGCCAGCAAAAATCTAAAAACACAATCTAGCTGTACAGTCTCATCATCATCAAACAAAAGAGATATCTTGTTTTACCCATCTTGGTACGTTGACAAGTAATTTTCTTTTCCTGGCATCTCAAGATCCTTCACATATTTGAGATAATTTTCGACGTATTTGAAAGTTTTTTTCAGGTCAAAATTGAGTAATTCAATATTTACTTCGCAACGAAAGGTTTTAATAAGAACTAACAGAGACCCGCACATCATTTCCGGCCAAATTAGTATTTTTATCGTAACTGTACTTCTTTAAATATAAC